TCATTCATTGTTGCACACTTTCCTCCCTTGCCTGCCCCAGTTCACTTAAAAAAAAAATTGGTTTACTTACAAAATTCATATACATTGTGTTTCACATTATTCTTCATTCATATTGTTTCATAAAATCAAGCCTAAGCTTTAGATTTTATAAAATCAATCAGAATTGGATCTTTTCCACCATTCCCAACCTTTTCAGATTCCAGCTGGCTCCTTCCCACTGCCTCATCTCCTCAATCCATCCACCAACCTCTGCAACCCTGTGGTTTTGTCCCTATCCATCCTCACCCCTGTGCCTGTACCCCACACTCCCAGGGGTCCCCCCATATGTTTTACTAGTTATCCTTCTATATTTCCTATCATGGTCTTATACAGTATTTGTCCTTATGAGACTGAGTTAATTCATTCAGCATAATGTTCACCAAATGTCCAACTAATGGGTGGAGAAATTGTGGTACAGCCACACAACGGAATACTATGCAGCACTCAGGTGCAATGAGTTCAAAAAATAATACATAACTTGGGAGACTGGAGTAATATATTTTAAATAAAGAAATGCCAAAAATGTTTATCACATTTTGCAAAGCATGTGAAAGGGGAGCTATCACTGCTGATATCAGATGTATTTTGGCTGAAAATAAAAAAAAAATAAATAAGTAGAACATTTAACTGTGCTCATGCGGAACCTATACACAGGATCAAGAGATACTCATTAGTGTAAAAAAAGGTGATACTGGATGGCTTAAAACCAGGAATTTCAGTTACAAAAGGAAATATACTGCATAATGCCACTGTTATAAAACAAGACTGACATGGGAGTTAGGGAAAAAGAAGAAAAGAGGAGATAAATAATGTACACTGGATTGAAACAGATGAGGAATAGAACTGCTTAAAAGGAATATATGATAAGGTATTATTTGCATGACAATAATGCAGAATAAGAGTTACATAGTAAAGTGGACTGGGGGCGGGGGGGGGATTGTACAACAATGAAAGAAGTTTTTTTGTTTTCAAAGAGAAAAGCAAACTGGGAGAGAGGTGGTCAGGAAGGAAAATGTACAACAGTGAATGAATGGAAATCCAAGTTCTCAAACAAAAGAAAAAGAAATAAAACCAGGAACGTCGTGCGTGCTAGGATTTCACTGTAATAATTCACAGTTCACTCTGGGCACTGAGCAAATTTCCAAGAAGTTGAACTAAATCTAGAATGTGGCATCAGCACCGCAGAAAGACTCATCCAACCTGTGACAAGCATTTGACAAAACCTTATTTACTGAACGGGATAAACGCTTACTGATGAAGGGCAGAGATTGTAGCCTCAAGCATGGTTACACGGCAACATAACAAAAATAGAATTATCAAAATTAGAGCAGTAAAAACCATGATGTTACCTGGATTCACAACCGATGCTCATAGAAGCAGCAGTATAAAAAAAATCAAACCATTGCACTGGACAGATCTGTGGCAAAAGGCCTTTTAAAATGTTAGAAATGAGGTTTACCTTGAGGATGGCAGCATAGCTGACTCAAAGAGTGGCATTTTCAATTACCTCCTCTGCATGTTAAAGTTGGACAATGGATAAGAAGACTAAGTCACATGTGAATTACGATAGTTAAAAAGCACGCTGAATATGCCGTAGACTGTTAAAAGCATGGATAAATCCTTGAAGAATTCAGCAAGCATGCTCCTTCCAGTGGGGCTGGCAAGACTTCCTTTCACACAGTTTAATCAACTTATTAGGAACAAATCATTGGAAAGAACATACTTGATAAGGTAAAAGTTTAGGGGAAAAGAGCAAGATCTTCAAAAAGGACTGACACAAAGGTTCTAACAGTGGTCTCAAGACACAGCGATTGCATGAATGGCGTGAAACTACACAGTGTTTAGCTCTGTTGTTGCTACAATTGGAACAGATGTGATAACACCTTACAACAACAGTAACGTAGCAGAGTGATCTTTACAAATACCACATCCCCAACCCCTTTTGCCCACGATATAATATTTAGATCCCTTAACTCATTATCCAGGTCCTTTCACTCTTCCCTTTTATTTTTCAGCTCCTTAAGATTAGAAAACCAGTTGCTGCAGAGTTGATTCTGACTCAAGACAGAATAGTATATGACACAGTATATGTTGAAGTAGTGGAGTGCTCCAGATGGTTTTCAAGGACTGATTTTTGGCAATTAATTGCCAGACCTTTCTTCCAAGGCACCTACCCTATTATTTTTTTTTCTGCCCTACTATTTCTCATCTCCACAGTTATTCGCAAACAAAAGCTCCGATTTTAAGTAGATATTCTAGAAATATCTACAGAATGAATTACTATGACATGCATGACTAATAAATGTAAGTGACCACTAAATGTAAGTGACATAAAATGAACCTGTCTAAAACCACATTTAAAAAAAAAAACAACACACAAGGATTTTAAAACATCTGATAGTTGGAATTTAGGCACTTCAGAAAACTGTCTCTATGAAGATAAATAGAAGGTCTTGATGCACCGAAGGCAAAGCAGAAATCTGAAATAGAAGTTAGTCTAAGTGGCAATGGGTGAGGAAAAGAAGAAAGTAAATTTTTAAACAAACATGAAAAGAAAATAAGGTTTTTCTATTTATAAACTAGGTGGAAAAAACCTATAGATTCATTTGAAAGTACAATAGCTTAATACTGTCTGATTTTTAATGTCTAGTTCAAATATAGAATACATCATGTAGAAATTCTAATCAAGTTAAGAGTTTTAGGAACTATATTAAAATTGTTTCAACAACGAGATAGAATACAAATTGGTCTTTCACAAAATAATTTTAAGACATATGTAAAAATTGACCGTACATAATAGAATTTTAGAAATTAATGTAAACCATCCTGAGTTCCAGATAATGAAACATGTTTTAAAGGTCTTTGTGTGGGAAAATTTTAGAAACAAATTAAGCATTTTAAAGGCAAACCTGTAAAAGAGCTGTTCTGTGGAGTTTCAATGCCCCCTTCTGGTGAATTTTAGCAAAACAACCTGAACAATAATCTTCTCCGCAGTCAAGGCAGACCTTTCGAGAGAGGGGAAAAAAATCATACAAACTTACAATAATGTCATATTGAGAAAATTATTACATAGATATGTTACTTTTTCTTCCTTTTCTCTTTAATAGAATGCCTTGCTATCATCAGAATTAAAAATTCCACGGAAAATTGGTTCATCTACCCTTCCCTGTTAAGATTTACCCTATAGAAATCTAACTTTATAATTCCTCTAATATTAAATGTAATAGCTAAAGCATAGACTTCAGGTAAATGAATTACTATATAAGTTCCCTTGTAGTACAGTGGTTAGGCTGATAGATTATACATTATAAAATGTTATTGTTGTTAAATGCCGTCAAGTTGTAGAGGACTCATAGTGACCCTATGAACAAAAGACTTGAACACTTGCATAACTTTCATCATTTCTCCAAGTTCACAGAGTTTCCGGAGGCAAGCTATTTCAGAAGTGGATGCCACTCCTGCTTCCAAGCTTGTTTTAATCGGGGAACTCCACCCAACACTGTCCACCATGGGTAACCATTATCACATTTGACACATCAGTGTCACAGTGTTCAGCATCACAGCAACCACAAGTTACCTCTGTATGGCAAGTGGACAGACCAGGACTATACCATATGGAAAAATTCTAATCAACATAAGTGTTTCAGGAACTACGTTGAAACAGTTTCAACATCAAGAAAGAATACAGATTAGTGTTTCCCAACATAATTTGAAGACATATGTAAAAATTGACTGTACATAATAGAATTTTAGAAATTGATAACTGACAGGTTAGCAGCTGGAACTCGCCAGCCACTGTTCTTTGCTCAGAAGGAAAATATGGCAGTCGAGTTCCTTAAAGATTCATCTCACTCACTGTCCTCAAGTCAGACAAACGTAGAGCTGATGCTTCAGCAAGCTCTCAGAGACTGCATACACACCGGAGGAGACAGTGACAGTGACAGAGACTCTTCTTTGGATGAGACAATGGATTGGAGCCACCAGAGGGGTCTCTCCTTCAGGTTAGCAGCCAGCGCTCTAAGACAATCCCACCAGGGCTGGCTTCTTGTGAGACTACAACCCAGGAAATTCTGGGGGTTCCTAGGAATCAGGACTGACTCACCAACAGTGAGCGTGGTTTAGTTTCGTTTAGACGGATGTACATCAACAAACTGTTGAATTAGGTCATTTAAAAAGAACTCCCAATATCCTCAAAACTTTTATAAACACATACCAACAAAACAGTACTTTCTGAGTCAAAAGTACTTAGTGAGGTTTTTAAGAGAGCAATTTTATTTCTCTGTATACATCCACATGATGCAAATTAATTTTTACTTTTATGAGTCTTGAACCTATCATGGACCTCCAAGGAAACAAATAGGTCTATCTTGGAGTGGGTGAAACCAAGTTTCTCCTTGGAGACTAGGATTTTGAATCTATATCTCACATACTTTGACATGTGACCAGGAGGAACTGGTCACTGGAGAAGGACATCATGTTTGGAACAACAGAGAGACAGTGGAGCAGAGCAAGACCCCAGATAAGATGGATTGATATAGTAATTGGGGTAATGGGGGTAGGTTTGTCTTGAAACTGGTTCAGGACGGGACAGGCTTCAGAGCTGTTGTACATAGGGTTTCTATGAGTTGCAGGTGACTCGATGGCACATAACAATAAAAACATATTCATAAACACATATTTATAAATAAATATATATGTTGTTCTTGTTATGTGCCATCAAGTCATCTGAGACTCATAGCAACCCTATGTACAATAGTCTTAAACTCCGTTCTGTCCTCTGCCCATCTCACTGTCTCTGAAATACCCATCCCGATTACCCCAGTCACTGAATCAATCTATCTCATAGAGGGTCTTCCTCTCCCACACTGTCCCTCCACCTTCCCAAGCATAACTTCCCCCTCCAAGGACTGGTCGGTCCCTTCTTGCAACATGTCCAAAGTATGTCAGATAAAGCTTCAGAATCCTTGTCTCCAAGGAGTAACCTGGTTTAACCCTCTCCAGGATGAACCTGTTCGT